TGGTAGAGAACCCCTAGGTTCAATCCCCAATAATGAAAACAAAAAGCAAACAAAAAATCCTCCTTGTAGTGTAATCCYCTTTCCCCCAACTTTGTTCCTCTATCCTACTGTTTCCCTTATACTGTTAGAAATAACTGGTTCCTTCAACATGTCTTGAAGGGCAGGAGGAATTCTCAAAATTCCTCTACTTAAAAAAAAAATAGCTTTTTAGCCAGGTGCTGTGGTGCATGCCTGTAATCCCAGCAATGTGGGAGGCTGAGGCCAGAAGATCACAAGTTCAAGGCCAGCCTCAGCAACTTAGCAAGGCCCTAAGCAACACAGTGAGACCCCGTCTCAAAATAAAAGATTAATAAAGGCCTGGGAATGTGGCTCAGTGGTTAAGCATCCCTGGGTTCAATCCCCAGTACAAAAAAACATTAATATTGGAATGATATTAGATTTACAGGAAAGTTGCAAAGATAATGCAGAGGCTTCCTATATGTCCCTCACCTCTACTTTTCAAAACTTGATAATAGAACAAAAATAGCCCTGAATCAGTTGTCTTTGGGCAAATCACATCATCTATTCAGGCCTTAATTTTGTCACTGAAAGAAAGATAACTGTCTCTGCCTCACCATCTTAATCAGCTGGGACTATAACAAAATATCAGAGACCAGGTAGCTTATAAACAACAGATATTTATTTTTCACAGTTCTGGAGGCTGGAAGACCAATACCRGGGCTCTGGCAGCTTCCATGTCTGGTGAGCACTCAGGTCCTGGTTCACTGATGCCACCTTCTCACTGTGTCCTCATTTGGCAAAAGGAGTGAGGGAGCTCTCTGGGTCTCTTTTATAAAGGAAATGATCCCATTCATGAGGGCTTCACCCTCCTGACATAATCACCTCCCAGAGGCCCCACTCCCAAATGCCCTCATGTTGGGGGTTAAGTTTCAGCATAATTTAAGGGGACACATTCAGTCTATAGCAGCCACCTCTGTGCTATTCACACATCACTGCAACAAAACACTGAGAAGCCAGCCAGCTTGTGTGGTGTTCTCTGGGTCAAGGTCCTCTCCAGRGGCAGGTGCAGTAGTCCCAGAGACTCAGGAGACTGGGGGAGGAGGATTGCAAGTTGGAGGCCAGCCTGGGAAACTTAGTGAGACCCTGATTCAAAATAAAAAATAAAAAGGACTGGGGATGCTCAGTGGTACAGTACCCCTGGGTTCGATCCCCAGTACCATGCACCCATGTGTGCACACAAATTCTCCCCAGGATCCAGGTCCCTCCCTCACAGCCCCATCTGAGCTGCTAGAAACCAAGTCTTGGCTCACAGAGGGTCCAGCCCTGGGGAAGGTAGACAAGCATTATTGGATGAAATGAGTGCATTAAGTGGGGACTGTAAAGTGCCGAAYGCCTCTGCAGCTGAATCGGTTGAAATGGTCTCCTAACAGGCTCATTTGTACACCAGCAGGAGAGTGATCTGTCCAAGCTCAAGTTCTAGTGAAGGGCAGGTTGAGGTCAAGTGATATGGTCACCAGGGCACATCAAGCTTCCTCCAAATGTGCGTGGAGACCTAGTGACAGTGTTAGATGTCAGAAAGTCTGAGCACTACACAGCTCTTCAGCCAACAGTGTCAGAACTGCCAGGCCACTGTAATCAGATCTCACCCTGGAAACCAAGGTCTTCTCTTCCAGCAGTATAAGAAGACACTTGAGATCCCCATCTCACTGTAACTAGTTCTGGAGGGGGTGGGGGACCACCTTGGGCCAGAAAGAAGGTCCAGGAATGGATGGGGCACGCCTACCCAACTCTACCCTGGCCACCCTCTCTCCAATTCCTGGCTTCAATTCCTGAGGGAACAGTTGGTTAAATACAGGACGTGGACCACTCTGCAGGAAAAAAAAAAAAAAATGCTTGTATATAAAATGAATGGCATTAAAAAGAAATGGGCTGGGGATGTGGCTCAAGCGGTAGCGCACTCGCCTGGCATGCGTGCAGCCTGGGTTCGATCCTCAGCACCACATTCAAATAAAGATGTTGTGTCCGCCGAAAACTAAAAAAATAAATATTAAAATTCTCTCTCTCACTCTCTCTCTCACTCTGTCTTAAAAAAAAAAAAGAGGGAAACCATTAGGAATTAAGAGAAACTTGAGAGACTTAACAACTAAATGTCATTTTTTTCTCAGTTGGGTCCTAATTTGAACCAACCAAAAGTAAAAATACATGTTTTTTAAGCAATTGGGGAAAACTACATGGACTATATAATTGAGTACATTTATTGCATACTTTGTTGGATATCATGGTATTGTGATCAAGTTGTTAAAAAGTTCTATTTCTTAGAGACAAATATTGAGGTGTAAATAGCCAAAAAGAAATTGTCTGGCACATGCTTTAAAAATACTCTGGGAACGGGAGGCTGAGGCAGGAGGATTGCAAGTTCAAGGTCAGCTCAGGCAACCCCAAGAGACCCTTTCTCAATTTTTTTTTTAAAAAGTGTTGGAGAGGGGCTGGGATTGTGGCTCAGTGGTAGAGCACTTGCCTAGCACATGAGGCACTGGGTTTGATTCTCAGCACCACATAAAAATAAAGGTATTGTGTCCATCCACAACTAAAGAAATTTTTTGTTTTTAAAGTGTTGGGGAGCTGGGGTTGTGGCTCAGTGGTAGAGCACTCGCCTAGCATGTGCGAGGCCCTGGGCTTGATCCTCAGCGCCACATAAAAATAAATAAATAAAATAAAGGTATTGTGTCCATCTACAACTAAAACAAAAAAAATTAATGAAATAAAAAGTGTCGGGGCTATAACTCAGAGGTAATGCACTCTTTAGTTTAATCCCCAGTATAAAAAAATAAAAACAAAAAACCAGCYAGGCGAGGTTGCACATGCCTGTAAWCCCAGCAGTTGGGAAGACAGAGACAGGAGGATCGAGAGTTCAAAACCAGCTTCAACAATGGTGAGGCTCTGAGCAGCTCAGTGAGACCCTGTCTCTAAACACCCTGAGTTCAATCCTCGGTACTCCAAAACAAAAAAACTCACAAAACACACAAAAAAACAGGGATTGGGGGAAACAGGGGTGGAGGGGAGSAAGACATAGCTGAAACCAAAATGACAATGATTTAATTGTGAAACTGGGCTCATCCTATCAGGCTGACTACTTCTATTTGAAAAATTTCATCATAAAGTCAAATAATAAATAGAATATTTTTTAAAATAAGTTAAATGAACCCTTGCCAACGTGTTAACTGTATTAACCACTCAGAAATTGAGAGAAAGGCAGGCCAAAGTTGAAAAGGTCAGGGGAATGGGAAGGCAGGGATGGTTGTGAACTTGACCTGGACCGGTGTAAAGGATATGACCAAGGCACAGTGGTGCCTGCCGAAATCCTCACCATGCACATGCCAGGTGTGTTCCCTATTCTCTTGCTGTGTTATGGGTGCTTGTTCCACCTTCTTCTCTGAACCTTTGAGAAAAAAAATGCCCCCGCTCTTGTGAACTTCACACTCTTCCTGTTCTCTTCCTCTCTTCTCACACTCCCCAATCCAGGTGTGGCACAGCTTCCTGGGACTGCCCATCAACCCAGAGTGCTTGCCTATGGCTCCATCTGCTGGTGGATCCTGAGAACTGACGTTGATAAAAGCTAAGGGTCCCCAACCAAGAAGGAGTTGAGGATAATTTGGGGCGGGGAAGAGGCCAGGCACTGGGGATTGAACCCAGAGGTACTTTACCACTGACCTACATTCCTAATCCTTTTTTTATTTTGAGACAGTGTCTCTTATTTTTGTTTATTTTGGAAGGGTACCGGGGATTGAACTCAGGGGCACTTGGCCACTGAAACACATCCCCAACCTTATTTTGTATTTTATTTAGAGACAGGGTCTCGCTGAAATGCTTAGTGGTTCACTTTTGTTGAGGCTCATAATCCTCCTGACTCAGCCTCCCAAGCTGCTGGGATGACAGGTGGGCACCACTGTGCTGGGCTCACAAAGTTTTTTAAGTTGGCCTCAGACTTCCGATTCTCCTGCCTCAGCCTCCCAAATCACTGGGATTACAGGCATTGCCACAAAGCTCAGCCAGGATGATTTTAGAGAGACCTGGTTCTTCCCCCTCGACAAAATAAACACAGACCAATTAAACATATAGGAAGCCTTTAATTTCWTCACCATAAACATTATACTCTGATTGCTCACATACAGTATAAAATATTTACTCCACTAAATAAATAAGACATAACATTATTGCAAACGGCACTTAAACCCCCAAGATATAAGAGCTCTTTGGCTCGACGGGGTGCTCCTGAGTTTGTGTGAGATTCCCCGAGCACAGATATGCCCTGGAGGCTGAGATGGACAAAGGCTCGAGGAACCACAGGTGTGCTTCTGGTCCTGCAATAGCCCCAAAGAGAGGTTGTGGAGCCGGTGGGGAAAGTTGGGGTGAAGTGGGAGTGAAGGGCAGTGTTTTATCAGCCCAGTCCTACAAAGAACAGAAGGGAATTGGAGGAGCTAGGCTGGGCCGAGGGAGGAGAGGAGGCTGGGGATGCTGCTGRGGCCTGGAGCCTTTCCACTACCCCTTATGTCCCCAGCCTTGGGTGAGGACATCTGGGATATCAACTGGGGTGAGTAGTGCTTCCAAGGTGCTGGGTTAGGTAGTTTTGGGGGCCAGACCTATCACCCCAAGAGAAGGGATTCTGGCAATGCTCAGCCCAATGACCAGACATTTCAGGGGACTGGTTGTTGGTGATCCCACTGAACCCAACTYCGAGACACCAACCCAGAAAAGCTGGGAATAGATTTCCTTCTACTTTGTTAAATAAATAARTTAAATATTTAAAGGCCTGTGTCCTCATGATGGCAACCCAGGGACCAACAAGCCATGTCCTGATAAAAGGGTTTGGGGGGATCAGCAGAAAGGCAGTGCTGTAGACCAAGGGGGCTTCACCTGGCCCCTTAGGACTCTTCCTCTCAATTAGCTTTCACCCCTCCAAATATTGTTGAAAGTTTCACACTAGAAACTTCCACGCAAGAGCCACACGGGCAGGGGTTCTGCAGAATAAGGGGGCCTGGGGTGGGAGTTTGTTCAGTTTTTCAAATCCCTTCTCCAGGTTTGTCTCAATCAGGACACTGGCTGTTAACCCTGAGCCTGGCCAGGCCACCTGCAGAGTCCTGCATTCCAGTGCATGGAGCTAATCAAATATTCTGCCTTCCTGGCCTCCTTGCACAGATCCACACTGAAACTGCCATTCTGCCAGCCCTAGAGACTGGGGAGATGGGAGAGGGAAGCCACCGTCCCCTATCTCTGCTGCTATGCAACTCACCGCCACGGGGTGGCAGCAGAGAGCCATGCCACTTTGGCAGCAACAAAAACTGGAAAGTCAGCCCTGCAGCCCTGTGGGAACGCAGACCAAGCAAGGCAGGCCCCCTCCTCAGTGTGTAGGAACCATTTCACACCGAGTATTTGGCCAAGTCACTCTTGTCAAATACTACCTGTGTAGCAAAGTAAATGGCAATCAGACCCAAGCCTGCGGCTGACACCATATAGGCAGTGACAGATTGGCTGAGTTGGACAATGGAGCCCATAAACAAGGATGGGGCCACCTGGGACAGCAAGAAGGCACTGTCCAGGATGGCAAGGTCCAGGCAGATGCCCCGGCCTGGGATCACCCTGGCCTCCGTAGGCTCACCCACCACCACTCTCATGGAGACATCGCAGGTGGAGGCCCCGCAGAGCGCGGGGGCAGCTGGGAGCAGGCCGCCACCTCCAGCACCCATGTGTCCGTTGGGGAAGGGAGCTCCAGACTTTGGGCCTGGCAGGAAGCTGGTCGTCAGGCTGTCCTCACTGCCACCACTGCCAGTGTCCCCTCGGTATTTGGGCAGGAACACCTGGGGGGGGTGGAAAAGAGGGGACGAGAACACTCAGGCACAGGGATCCCCAGCTGTAAGAACAGGCCCTAGCTTTCAACCCCAGGGCCAAAAGAAAACAGGCAACAGGTCAGCAAGCTGAGGAGACCCTACTTGACCCAGGTCTAGACAGGACCTCAGGAACAGCAGGAATGACGGCCATGAAGGTGCAAAGCCAAAACCAGACCTCAAGGTCTCCTCTGGCTTCTCTTAGGTAAGTCACAAACTTTTTTTTTTAAGAGAGAGAGAGAGAGAGAGAGAGAGAGAGAGAGAGAGAATGAATTTTAATATTTATTTTTTAGTTTTCAGCGGACACAACATCTTTGTTGGTATGTGGTGCTGAGAATCGAACCCGGGCCGCACGCATGCCAGGCGAGCGCGCTACTGCTTGAGCCACATCCCCAGCCCAGGTAAGTCACAAACTTGATTCTGCAGGTTAGGAAGACAGCGGAGCCTCCCAAGAAAAGGGAGAGACAGAAAGAATCAGGCAGGTGAGAGGAGAGAAACACAAGAGGAGGGAGAAAATGCAAAGGAGGGCTCCCGGTCCCCAGACCCCACACAGGGTCTCCAGCCCTCTTCCTCCCTGCCCACCCTCTTCTTGGCCATCTGGAAATCCTCATTGCCCTGCCAGGGACAAGCCCTGCCCCTCTGGGGTTGCAGGCCCTGGAGCTGGAGTTGCTGCCCACAGTGAGGTCCCTGCCCTAGACTTCAGCCAGGGAGGGCTGTGGGGCTGGAGGGCTGGCAGATGGGGTCTAGGGAAGGGAGGAGCAGCAGGAGTGACCCCCTTGCCCACTCCCACAGCCCTTCTTACTTCCTTCCTGCTGTTCACCAGAGATCAGAGGCTGAGTCTGATCTATCTCCCCCACCCCCACCTCAATGGCCTGGGGCCTATTTAAGGACAAGACCAGATCTTATCTCACACTGTATCTAGCACAGGCTTTTTTTTTTTTTTTTTWAATATACTGACAATTGAACCTGGGGTTCCCTATTCACTCATCACCAGCTGCATCACCGCCCTTTTCATTTTTTACTTTGAGGCAGGGTCCTGCTGGCCTTGAATTTGTGATCCTCCTGCCTCCGCTTCCCCAGTAGCTGGGATTACAGGCGTGCCCCATGATGTCTAGCCACAGCGCTGGCTTCCTGAGTTGGCTGCATGAATAAGCTGGGAGCCAGGACACAGTTCTACCTGGTGCCAGGGAAGCCCAAGGCTCATCATGAAGCCTGACAAGTGGGCAAAGGCCAGGCAGACAGTGTGCAAGGCCAAGTCTGCCCTCTGCTGCCTCCCAGGACCTGTCCTGCTTGCTGCCCCAGGAAAGGCCTGAGAGGCTGGAGTCTGGAGAGGTCCCTGGGGACAAACATGCTCCTCAGTAATAAGCATGAGTCCCAGCCTGTCCCCTGGCTCCAATGCACATGCTCAGGCCTAGCCTCCAGCCCAGAGCAACGTTGAGAGTAGGGACTGGTGAAAGATACCATGGGCCCAGAGGAGCCTCAGGGACCAGTTCCCCTCCCAAAGCCTTAGCCCCTCCCTCTCCACACCTCCCACCCCTGCAGCTACCAGCAGAGCAAACCAGCCTCCCAGCTACTGCACTCCTATCCTACAGGGGCAAGGACAGGTTTTCCCTATACCTGGCAGCTCTATGAGCACAGGCCTGTGTCTCCACCCTGAGACACCCGAACTTGTGCCCCCTGGGGTAGAATCCTGCATCCAGAGTTGTAGCTCAGTGAAGTCAGTGGAGGGGACAAGGGTGACCAACCTCCTGCATACAAAAATCTACCCTCCTCCTGCAGGGGCTGGTTAGTGTGGGGTCAAGCAGRAAGAAGGCCCCCAACTTACCCAGTGCCCAGGTGAGCTGAACTGGTATATCCGGCTCAGATATTCACCAAGGGGCAGGGGAAGGGGACAGAGGTAAAGGTGTGAGGCAGGAAAGGGAGAATTCAGAGGAAGATAAACCAGAAAGAGAGAGCCCTCCCCATTTTAGAGACCAGAGCAAGACTCAGGCTAGTCACAAGGCCTTTCCCTGTGGCTAAGGCCTGGCCATTCTACCACCATATGCTGAAGCTAGATGCCCCAGAGGGCATCTCACCCAGGCCCCTGCCTCCTGGGAGAAGACAGCCCAGACTGAGGGCTTCTCTAGCCTGATTCTTYAGGATTCCCGGTGAAAGATTCTTCACTTCCTGCAATCACACACTCAAGTGCTTTATAGTTCCAAAGCCAGGAAGTCATTCCCAGAATCTAATCTACACGCTTCTTCCGCAGCCCAAGCTCCTGCCTGGGAGCTAAGATGAGCTTCCTCGGATCAGAGAAAGTCTTCTCCAACACCTCTTGCCAGACACTGGGTTTTGGACTAGTCTGCCTCCCCMACCCTCCTGGCCAAGGGCCAATGTGAATACCTGCTTCTCACGGTGGTAGAGGGAGGCCAACGTGTAGGGCAGGATCTGCAAGGCTGAGAAGGTGAACCCGGTGAGGGCTGCCGAGGCCGTCACCACAGCCACACTGCGAGACAGGCAAGTGGCGCCAGCAGCCACGGGGAAGGCCACCACACTGGCCAGGTAGACTGCCCGGGTGCCAAATCGCTGCACCAGCCGGTCCATGACCAGGGAGAAGACCAGGGAGATGGTACACTGCAAGAAGAGCCCCAGGCTGCCCATCCGCACACCTGGATGTAGAGGGGAGAGGTGGTCAGACAAGGCCAGGTGGGTCAAAACCCTACACAATCTGGGGGTAGCAGGGGATTAGGAGCCATGGGCATCTGCTCCCCCACCTCAATTTCCCACCCCGTAGCAATGGGAGTCTAGGCTATTCCACAGACACTTGGCAAATGTGGCCAAAGCTGTTGGCTGAGGGCAGAGGAAGATGTTCTAWGGAAGATGTATGAGGACCCTCAGCTTTGGGTACAAAAGGGTAAGAGGGGACACAAAGAAAGTTCTACCAAGGCTTTTTTTTTTTTTTTTTCTGGGGATTGAACCCAGGGGTGCTTTTATCCCCTGGATTACAGGCATGTGCTGGGCGTAATCTACCCAGGCTTGAAGATGGCATTCTAGAACAACTGAACAGGATGGTCCTGGTGAGGTTATCTGAAAGTCTGCAGGGGAGMAGAGGGCAGGATGGAGCTGAGCAGAGCTGAAATCCATCTTGACTCCTGCTTCCTCTGTCCCTTGAGTAAGCTCAGTCTTTCCTTCTGACAAAGTGTGGCAGTGCATCTGACTGAATGAACAGAGAAGCTAGCAGCCTTACTGAGGCAGCAGGCAAAGCTACTCCCCAAGGAGCCTGACGTGGATGGGGTCTATTTTCCTTTCCTGATGTGGAAGTTGGGGAACAGGATGCACAGCCACCAGCCCCCCCCCCCCAACCTCTCCCAACCCAGGAATGTCTGCTGAACGCAGTTACCCAGCAGCCGCCACTGGCTGCTGAGGCCTTCCTTACCTTCATCATAATGTCTCCGGGCCTCGGTGCCTGGCTCGGCTCTGGGCACGCCCTGGTACAGGCCCTCACCCACAAAATCCGTGTAAAACAGTGTGAAGGTCATGAGTGCCATCCAGCTGCAGAGCTCTGCCACAAAGAGTCGACGCAGGGCACGAGGCATGCGGCAGCAGAGCTGGTGCAGCCGAGGAAACAGGGTACCCAGGTTCCGGAGAGCCAGGTGGGCATGGCATGGGCAGCAGTGGGGAGACGTGGAGGGGACTGAAAGTGCTTCCACTGGCTCAGGCGGACCCAGCACAGCCTCCTCGGCCACAAACAGGGTGGCTGCCATGCAGGTGAGGAAGATGAGAGTGAGCAGGCCAAAGAGGCACTCCTCCTGGGTGCCCAGATAGGGGGCCAGGGCACTGGCGTCCCAGTCAATGGCAGGTAAGAGGTAGCCCAGGCAGCCCCCAAGGCTGATCATGAAGGCGTAGACAGAGAAGGCCTGGCGACAGTGGTCTGGGTCCCGGAAGAGGTCAGAGAGTAGGGCTTCCAGTGGAGTGAAGCACACTTGGCCACAGAAGTCCAGCAGCCCCACGCCCAGGATCAGCAGTGCCAACTCCAGGGGCCTGGTATCTGGGCACAGCAGCTCCGCCAGCCAGCCCGCCCTCGGGATGAGAAAGAGGCTCAGCAAAACACCCAAAGACAGGGCCCAGATGAAGGGCCTCCGGCGGCCGTAGCGCCCACGCCACTGGTCACTGGCTGAGCCTAGGAGTGGGACGGAGACCAGGCCCAGCACTGGACCAATGCCTGTAAGAAAAGCAAGAAGCAAGAGTTAGTGGCTGAGACAAAGAAGGGGAAGGGGGAGAAGGGATGTAGCTCCTTGAGAAGCATGGAAATACCATCTTCATGGGGTCTTAACTTACTCCTCAGAGGAGTACTACAAAGGCCTCCATTTTCAGTTGGGGAAACTGAGGCATGGAGCACTAGAAGTGATACTTATGCAAAGGCACAGAGGTAAGGAGGTGACAGGTAGGGCTGCAACAGGTGGTCCCACTTCAGTGTACTGGCAGGGACCCTTCTTCCCAAGGGTGAGTGTCACATAATGGTGACCATTGGTCTTCTGTGGCTTTGCAGCATTCACCTGTAGCATGAGGAGTTTGACTGTGTCCTGTTCTGGKGTAAGAGAAAGCCCCGACTGGGAGACCCTGGTCGAGTCCCCGCAGTTGCACAGCCTGGGCTGTGACTCCCCTAAGCTCTCACAAGCCTGTTTTCTTTCCCTGTAACATGGAAAGCCCCAAAAGCTTGCTGTAAGGAGTAAATGAGGTCACAGATGTGAGTTATAAAGGGCTGAACAAAGGTTAAGAGCAATTTTTTTTCTAGTGTCTCCATGAGCTGGACACTGTGTAGGGACCAGGCAAACAGAGGTGGCTAGATTATGTCCCTGTATCATTTCATTTCTCTTGAGGGACTCCCTCAGCTCAGGTCACCCATCTGCCTAGCCATGCCTGCCCACTAGGCCCAGGGACAGCTGTCCGAGTAGTTCTCTAGGCAGAGGACCTACTGCCCTACATCCCAGGTGCACGTAACTGGAGCAGGAGGGAAGGAGGGTACAGGCACTCACCCAACACCATGGTCATGAACTTCTCTTCTACCCCCACTTCCAGCAGCAGGGGAGGCACGTAGGTGATGCCAGCGGCCAGACACACTTCCAGGCCAAAGGTCAGCAGATTGACCAGCAGGAGCTGGGCTTTCCGATGCCGGAGCAGGCGGCTCACCCACAGTCTCTGGACCATGGTGGGCCAGGCAGGTGGGGCTCGGTAGGAGCTGTTCACACACTCCACAGCGGCTTTGTTTCAGCCCTGCCCCAGAAGCCCAGGCCTCTCCTCCTTGCTGCCACCGACTGCCTAGGATTCAGCCAGGTGCCCATTTCCGCCGGCCCTCTGGTACAGGTCCAATGACTCAGCCCATGCTAAACACCGTTGCCCCGCAGCACTTCAGTGGGGACAATTCTTGTCACTCAGATCCTAAAAGGGCAGGACAATCACAGGTACACAGAGTGTTAAGTCCCAGGAGCCAGGGCTTCAGGATTTTCTTTGAATTCTCTGAATCCTGTTCATTCACAGGCTGATGATGTGGCCCTGTCCCTTAGATGCCACTCCTGGCTGCCTAGTCAGGAAACGCATGTTAATATTAGCCCAAGGCTGACATAATTAATAAAGTAAATATGATTTTTAAACCTCAGCATACCTCAGAGCCAAACAGATGTCAGGTATTCTCTGTTTTGGAAAAGCTTTGCAATTGCCCTTGCCTGCTATCGTATTGAAGGGGGGGCACTGAATCAACTGAATTTCCGGTTGCTCAGGCCCGGCTATCAAGGTGCCCCGAGAGACCCTCTGCCAGGCTTGGTTTGTTTGCTTTCCTCTCTGCAATTCCCAGAGCTGGGCTGCTCAATTCCCCTTTGTTAAGAGTGACAYTTCCGATTCCGCACCTCTTGGCCCTGAGCCATGTTGCACCATAACCCCCACCTCCAGGACCAGGACCAGGGCRAAGGGAGGAAAGGCTGTGGCTTGCTGGGTTAGGTTTCAATCTGACCCTGAAGCCACTCATGCAGAGCTCCCCTGGGTCAACCTAGGCCTGAAACCCTCTCCCTCGAGTCTCCCCCAGAGTTCACCGGGGAAGTCCCCCCCACAGGTGACTGTCAATTTTCACCGAGCAATGGGGCCATTCCCAGGTCCCACCCTCACAGGAGCATGAAACCGCACTAGCTGGCAGCACCTGTGATGACACCAGTGACCCCTGAGCTGGCGTCAGGATGCCCCGCCACTTCCTGGCCAGCCTTTCTCGGCTCCCCAAACAGCTTCTTTCTYAGAGAAATTCCCACTCTCTCTCCTGCCAGCCCTGCCTCCCGCACACAGGGAGAACCATCCCTGGGTCAATGCCCATTCCCTGCCCTGCAGCAGGTGGCTCCAGGTCTGGCTTCCTAACAATGGCACCCAGTGCAGTCTGCTCTGCTCAGACTATGAAAGAAGGAAAACAGATCAAGTTCAGCCATCAGCAGAGATGGATGGGGTGGAGTGCTTAGTGACAAAGGGGAAGGGGTCCCTAATTTGCCTTCTGTCCCCAAACAGAGGCAGGGGACAGAACTTTCCTCCCCAAGTCAATCCTATAAATGTGCTGAAGAGCGGCTAGCTACTCCCCGGGCAGGGCCACCTAAGGACCACAGTGCCCAGGGCTGGCTCCACCCCCCACACACAGGGGCACTTTCCCCGCATGCTCATCCCCCCTGCCAATCTCAGCATCTCATGATAAAAGGCGCTTCACTTCTTTTATCTTTTCAAGCAACACTAAGCCCTGCAGGACCTTGCACATTACAAAGCATGTTGTAGGTGCTCCGAGCTGCTCCTCAGAGAAATCAGGCGACCATCAATCCTAGATAAGATCTGCCCATACCATATGCCTTCTGGGGCTTTACAACTGGGAGACCAGGAAGAAAGGGACGTGAGGTTAGGCTGGGCAGCCAGCAACCTCCTCCCRAAGATCCCACACTTTGGGAAGGGGCAGGATTTCTGTAGGGGTGGCATGAGTAGGACTATAAAATACTGATCCCATGGTCCCCCCAAAGGGAGGTRTAGGAACCAGGCATCAGGAGTAGCTGGGCTGCAGTGGGTTCAGCATTACCCCTCCCCATGGCTGCACTTTCCAGCTCTCTAGAGGGAAAGTGGGGGATGGGGGGTGGGGTGCAAGAGACCAAGGGTTGGAGCTCCCCAGTCACGAGGGAGGGGCTCTGGGGCAAAAGGCTGCAGCCCATTCCACTCCCTGCCCTTGCCCTCTGTCTGGGAGGGCCCTGGACACTCACCGCTCTGGGTTTGCAAGGGACCAGGTCCTCCCTGAGCAAACACTGACTTTGTCAGACCCAGCCTCACCCACAGCCTGCCCTCCTTCTCCAAGTCCTGGTTGTTCCTGGTTTAAAAAAAAAATGGTAGCTCTCCAGCAACCATTAATCACTCCACCTGCCTTCTCCTCCCTCAATCCAGCTCCTCCTGAACAGAACCACTCTTAGCCCACAAGGGGAAAAGACAGGCTGAAGAGAGGAATTTCCCTCATCCTCTTACAGCCCAGTCACTTCTAGAGCTGCTCCTCCTTCCGGGGGTGCCTCCCTCCACCCACCTGAGGTTCTCTACCAGGTAACTGGGGGCTGGGCCAGGTGAAGAGTTCACAGAAAGAAGCTGAGTAGAAAGTAGGCAGGCTCCTAGCCTGCTGCACCCCTGTGTTCTTAGGTTGCAGAGCCCGTTCTCCCTCTTTTCATACCTACTCTGCTCTGGAGGTCCAGGCACYCTTGACACCCAGAATTACCTGAGGAATCCCAAGCCCATAAGAACACCCTCTCCTCCAAAGCCCTGCTTTCTTATGTCCAGCACACACGTCTCTCCACTCCCTCCCCACCCCACGTCCTCAGGATGAGGGAGCCTACAGAGGACTCTAGCACCAGCTCCAGCTGCCAGCCATCCTTCCAGGGCCTCCTTCCCTGAGGCACCACCATCCAGGCCTAGGGCCTGCCTGGTTCCCGGGCTCSGAGAGCTCAGAGAACAAGGTGGTTCAGTACCACTTTTCAGGTCTTTGCTCTGGTCAGCAGTCCTAGGGCACACTTCTTGCCCAAGCTCAAAAGTGACCCATCACTACTGGCCACCCCTGGTCTGAGGAACTCCCCTGTCTTCTAGGAGTAGAAATATAGGCAGGGGGACAGAGTCTACCCTCCCCACTCTTCAGTCTCACAGATACTTCCGACTCAAATCTTCCTGCCCACTGCATTTGAAGCATTCTGTCTGTCTGGCAAACAGAAGATCAACCAGAAGAGCCAGCCCCTGACTGCTCACCTGAAGAGGGGGGGGGGGCAAGAAGTGGAGGGCTGACCTCTTGGAGGAAAGGAGCAGGGCGCCTTCTAGGAAGGCAAGTCTGGCTCCAGTTGCAAACATTTCTCCTCCTCTCCAGGACCCCTCAAAGCTGGAACAGCAAGAAAGCCAGAGGAAATCCCTAGTCCACGGGACCCTTCATGGAGTTCCATTCTAAACCACCCTTCCCCGTCCCTGAGGGCACAGAACTGAAGCCAAGGGCCCCGGGCAAGGTCAGTGCACCTGGATTCTATTTGCCCAGGTCGCAGCACCCAACAGTGCAGCATCCCCCAAGGTGGGTGATGTCGGATTCCTTCACACCCCTGTCACCAGCCCCAGCAAGAAAGGGCACCTGGGAAATATTTTTACCCAATGGATGGATGGATGGATGAATGGACAGATGGACAAACGTATAAAAGCAGGGGGCCGCGGGAAATTTCTCGCAGAGGCAACTCCTTGGGCTCAAAGGTAGTGACCTAGAATGCCCCCACTTCAGACTGGACCCAGGGCAGGCRGCATGGGAAATGAAACTGAGCAACAGGAACAAACTTGGCCTGAACTTTGTCCAAAATTCAAAAGACAGAGTGGAGGAGGCGGAGGAAAGGTGACCCAAGCCCACTGCCTGGTAGCTCCCTAAGGGAAGGGAGGGTCAGAGGGACGGATAAAGAGGCCTTTGAGGGCTTTCAAAGGGGCTCCTGCCACCCCGCATGGCTGAGGTGGAACTGGGGGGAGCAGACTGCCTCCGCTGACAGACAGAGGCCAGAGGGAGCCTGGGCTGGGGGCAGCCCCCGCCCGGGGCCAGTGTCAGGCAGCAATTCTATGGCCTCTTTATGCAGGCCAGCGTCCCCACACCCCGCCCAGGCACATCAAACGGCGCAGCCCCCACCCTGACCCCGCCAGCTCCGCGACCCTGCCTCCTCCCTGGCTGCGCACAAAGGCGGGCTGCTTTCTCACAGCTCCTCAGGGAGGCGCGAAGCACACTCCTCCGTCCTCCAGGGCCACCCGCCACCCCTCCCCAGAGAGGGAAACCCTGCAGGGGGCAGGCTAGCCCGGAGGAGCAATGACTCAGCCCAAGAAAGGAGAGGGGTCACCCTAGGTCAGCTTCCCCAAGACTGTCCCACTCCAGGCCAGGCCAGAGGCGGGAACGGGTTACTTACCMCTGCTCCAAATCCCACTGGACCCCAGCACCTCATTCCATGCTAAGCTCTCCTAGGCTCTCCAGGCTGAGGCGGGGAAAGTGACCTGTCAGGTCTGAGGGCTCACAGCTCAGCATCCCTATGTCCATCCCCCTGCCTCAGTCCAGGGACCAATGCCCTGGGCCTTGCCTGGCACACTGCACTCCCCAAGGAGCCACACCCTCTCGTAGCAGCTTCACAGGGAGTCCTGGGGATGCTCCACGACAAGGCTGCAGCAGCCATCCAGACTAGGAAGTGTCCTCGTGAGGCAGGCAGCTCCTGATCTTTACAGACGCCTTGGTGAGGGACCCTGAGGCTGTGGGAATTCCTACTGGGCTCCTGGGGTAGGAGTTGGGGGTGGGGGTGGGGTGGGCACAGCACTGGACTCCAGAAGGGATTGGAGCCTTCCAGCCCGATCAGTCTTTGATTCTCTGAGCCTAAATATTTCCTAGGCAGTAGGGATCTCTGCTTTGCCCGTCCTGCCCTGGACAAATGCAACGGTGATCTGGACTAATAGCTGAGGGCTATGACCTCACAGGGTCCCACACACACCTGAGGACACCACTCAGAAGGTGACCTCCCTGCCTCGAGGGAATCCTAAGAAAGAATAAGAGGTGGGCAGTGGGACCGGGAACCCAGCCCCGCCCAGACTTGCTCCCCAGCTCCTGCCTCCCCCAGGGCCCGGAGGCCAGGGATTTAGCGCTCACCCCGCTGAGCGGCCTTTTCTTCCCGCTGACTGGAAGCCTTCTGCTTAGCAGCTTGTCAGAGAGAGTGAGGGGCTGCAGGCCGGGACACAAAGGGGGATTAGGGAGAAACCTCTCGGCCTGCAGAGTAATCCATCAAACTCTCTCCCGGCTGCCAGTACCAGCCCCTTCCCACTCAATTCCCCTTCCAGCTGCTGTTGGTCCCCCACCCCCTCCGGCTCCTGAGCCCTGTCACTTCGGGCAGCAAAGAGAATCC